CCCTTAATTGTCCTGAGCCCCCCTTAACTGTTCTGAGTTCTCCCCTTAACTGTCCTGAGCCCCTCCTTTACTGTCCTAAGCTCCCCCTCTTAACTGCCCTGAGTCCCCATTAAGTGTCCTGAGTTCCCCCATAACTTGACCTGAGCCTCCTTTAAAGCAGAGTTCTGGCCCCTGCCTCCCCCCCAAAAATAAAAAATTTAAAAGACAGCAGCTACAAATACTGTACCATTTCTTTAAAAAAAAAAAACCCTGCAAGACAATGTCATAATGTGCTAGTATTCATTGCATACCAGCACATTATGTGAAACTTACTTAAAACGAAGCCCTCCAGCAGTGCGCTTTCACCACTGACAGGTCTTCCATCTTCACCTGGTCCTTCTTCCTGGTTCACAGGCTCTGGTGGCTTGAGTGGCCGAGCCGCAGATGTCACTCCCGTGTATGAAAGTGGCGGTCACTTTCTATGGCACATGGCTCTAAAGAAACGGCACAGGTATGCCATTCCATCAGAGTGCATGTACCGGTGTCTTTTACAAGCAATTATCTCCTAAATGGTGCACTTTAGGAGATATTTACAGTACCTACAGGTAAGCCCTATTGTAGGCTTAATTGTAGATACAAGTGAAAAAACAACTTTACTACCAAAGTCCTGAGCCCCCATTAAGTGTCCTGAGCTCCCTGTGTTAACTGTCCTGAGCCCCCCTTAAGTGTTCTGAGCTCCCCCCCTTTGACTGCCCTGAGCCCCTCCATTACAGTTGTCAGCAATCCCCCTTTACATTGCCCTCCCCCTTCCTGTCCTATCTTACACAGAAGGAGGAGGGCGGGAGGAACAGCAGGTTTTGCCAGAGGGCAGGAGCTGCAAGCTGGTGATTGGCTGGCAGGTCCACCCTCCATCCTAGCAACCAATCACCTGCTTGTTAACTCGGAACAGCCTCCGCCCTCCATCCCAGAGCCTCCTGTTATTGGCTCTGTGAGAATGGTATTGACAGAATGGCAGTGATCTCTGAGCAGAACAGCTACTAATGGTGATACCATGGCAGTTCAGATAGGACATTGACTTGGCCTGGACACAGACCACGGTCCGCCATTTAGTGGTGCATGTTTTAGAGCTTTGGGAGGGAAGAAGTCTGCAACCCAGTGTCTGGATGTTTCAGGAGACTGGCAAACTGTGTATACAGGTGCACAAAGCCCTTATAATAACAGGCTTAGGCGTAGTTCAGGGCTCTTGTTAGTAGACAGGTATGCTCCACTCAGTAGACAGTACCCCATGCTAGAGGCAGAAGGCTCCTTGTCTAGAAGACTGAGAGAATCGAGACAATGAATCAAGTTCAGAAAACTGAGGGTAGATGTCTGAGAGGATTGAAAGAGCCCAGGGTGATAGGAGATTCCCTATTGAGAGGCCAGGGTGTGGGCCCATGCAGTAGGGAGCTGTGGAGCAATACACAGATTATGTATGTAAAAGGTGCATGGACTGCATTTGAGCATAGTAGGTACTGTAAACCAGACCAAGGGAACAATCCATAGCTCTGAAGGTAAGGCCTAAGCTGCAGTGCTGCATGAGAGAGCCAGGACTCTAATCAACTTTCTATTGTTTCATGTTGGCACTGATGGTGGAAATCTCTGCTGTATCTTGTGCTGTAGTGTTCATCTGTTTTAAATAAAAGTGGGCCATCAAGCCCTAAAAGTTCCAGTTTCAGGTTGATGTGAACTCACTAAAAAGTGCTACTACCACAGTATATATATATATATATATATATATATATATATATATATATACACACACATATATACACACACACTTAAAATATATATATATATATATATACTAGACTAAAAGCATACCAAGTCAAATGTGAGCTTGAAGAATAATCTTCCAAACTCTACACCTTTACTGTTAATTTTTACCTTGAATGAACCCACAAAATGATCTAAATATGTTATCAAATACTGTAGTTACATTTCTAATTGAGCAGGATGATAGATGGGATTTTCAGTGTAGTGCATATGGTGAGGATTATTTGCCTTTTGTTGAAATCAGTCACCATATTTAACAGTTCAAATGAATGGATTACTTTGTACACACAGCACTGAAGTTTAGTTACAGATTAGTCTCTTCATAATGAAAAGAAAGATTAACAGCTACGTATTAACAATGTACACTTGTGATATTCTGTCTTTGAAGATTACTGTATTCATAGACGTAAAGCATATCAAGGATATTTGTGTTATTGCTACGAAACATTACATAAACCTTAATGGACCTAAACCCAAAAACAAAGATTTGCTTTCTTAATGTATGTATAAAATCTAAAAATGTTGTGCTTCAGTGCAATTAATGCAATTCCCTGAGAAATTACCATGTGTCTTAAATTGCTCATGAAAATTAGCAAGGTTCTTCCTATGCCTTGAAACTAGAGATGCATGAATGCCCTTGTTTGCCTTGTGGGGAGTTCACTGAATCCTGAATAAAGTCAGAAAATTCCACACTTAAAATTGAACCCCAAGTCTAGTATGGGTAGGGGGAATCTTGTTACACTATTTTGGACATTTTCAAGACTAATAGGCAAGGAACTGTCAAAATGGCATGGCAAGCAAGGCATTCCCAGAGGGGAAATGTACCAATGCAAAAAAATTAAATACTGTATAGCACAGAAAGGGTCCTTTTTTCAATGTGATTTTAAGGCAACATAGGAAAAGCACCATTTCTTTTATTTAAATGCTTGAGATACACCTTTAAGCTGTATGTGGTGTTAAAGAATAGTATGACTCTCTCAAGCATGACATCGGGGACACTGTATTTGGGCATCACATATTTTGGATGTGTAATTGATTTATTTTCTTTACATTATTACTTGGCTCAAATACAGCACAAAAGTAATCAGTAATGGGTATGAATTGAGTGGTGGAAGTAGCAGCCACAACAGATCTAACACCTGCAGGAAATTGTTCTGTTAAAAAAAATAAAGCCCCAAACATTGTACAAATTAGTCAATAGAAAAACAGTTTAATAGTATAGTTTGTGAGTTTTGTATTTGTATTTTTAAGACACTGTATTGTCTTTAAAATAAAATGTTAACACAGGGTGCACAAAACTACAATTCCCCCTCCCAACCTATACCATCAAAGACAATAGCAACACCTAGTAAGTCCAGTTGAATGTGACAAACTACTATTAGACAGTGGCTAAACAATATTTAAGAAGCTTGGTAAGGCAGCAATGTAAGATGCAGTGGCTAGGTAGGTTTTATCGTGAAATAAAGATTACATTGTATTATTTCAGAGACAATAGCCACTCATATTGTACAGCTGCTAAACAGTATGTAACTACCTTCATTAAGCCACAATGTAAGAGGGAGAGACAAGGCAGGATTTATCTTGAAATAAAAGTTAGAGTGTATTATTTCAGAAACAATAGCCATGCATATTATACAGTGGCTGGACAGTATGCAAGAAGCATGCTTAGAATGCAATGTAAGGGGGAGAGAAGAGTAAGGTTTTAGCCTGAAAAAAAAATGAGTGTTTAATTAAGAGACAATAGCCACATGTATTGTTCAATAGCCACATTTATTGTACAATGCCTAGACAGTAGGTAAGCAGCTTCTTTACACCACAGTGTAAGAGTTAAAGACAAGGTAGCTTTAACCTGAAATAAAAATTAGGCTATATTACTTCAGAGTCAATAGCCACGCATATTGTAAAGTGTCTTCATAGGGTGTAAGTAGCTTCTTTAGAACACAATGCAAGAAGGAACATGGCTAGATGAAACCTTAAGGCTAGGTTCACGCCTATGCAATTTGTATTTGACCCATTTCTGCATTGCATTTTGTGTTGCGTTTTATTTTTGATGCATTTTACATTTTTTCCCCTTGTTGTTAGGCAGATTTAAAATGCAAAACACATCAAAAACGTACCACATGTTTTTTTGCAGCATTACCACTGAAGTCTACAGAACCAAAAATGCAACTTTATGCATTCAAAAAAGTCCCAGACCCTTTCCAAAAAAACGCACCGGGTGAAAACACGGAGATGTGACCGTGTCCCATAGGAAACCATGTTAAATGGATTGTAGTGCATTTTTGCAAAACGTAGTGTATTCTTTAGGAGGCAAAACCATATATCCTTAAAGTCAGTCATGTGCCAGATCTGTAATGTACACTAAACGAAAACCAGAAAGGAAGAATTCATCAGACTTTACTGGCACAAAAAGGGAACACACATATTTAAAGTGTAAAATGTAAACAAAGTTACTACAAAAATACATTTGTTAAAATCACTTAAGGATCTACTATAGGTCATAAATGCAATGCCTTTACATATTCGTGAATATACATGATATACCAGCTGTATCATGAAACTTTTCTCATACATATACAGTAGCTGACTGCACGCTATCATAACACAGTAATCTGTGGAGGTAAGTCCTCATGGGTCAAAGCATTTCTCTCTATTACTTCTTCAGGACAAATATAGGAAAGTTACAGTGGTACCTAAACAAAAAGAAAATCATTAACAATCTTTAGTACTGTTAAGCACATATATTTACGAACATACCCACATGGAAGAAAAATATATATTTTAAAAATATTCTTCCAAATATATTGACATATATTTGAAATACTACAATTTTGGCTGTATTCAATATATTTAAAAAAAAAAAAATATATATATATATATATATATATATATATATATATATATATATATTGCACGTTGAAATGTGTTTTTTATATATTACAAAAAATATGAAAGATATTTTTAAAAATATATTTTGTTTAACCACCTGCCGACCGCAGATAGCCGAATGACGGCTACACTGCGGCCGGCCAGTTCTGGGAGGGCGTCATATGACGTCCTCCCAGAATGTGCTCTCCTGCACGCCCCCGGCGATCTCCGTGAACGCTGTGTCCTATGGACACAGCTGATCACGTGATGTGGTAAAAGGCCAATCACAGCGGCCTTTTACCACGTGATCAGCCGTGTCCAATGACAATGATCACCGGGAAATGCAATTGCTGGTTCTCGGCTGCACTTTCCTCACGCTGTCAGAGCTTGAGGAAAGTACTGCCGAGATGAAACCGGCAGTTGTCAGAGCAGGGATCGGCACCGATCATCAGGGCACTGATGATCAGTGCCCTGATGATCGGTGCCCAGCAGTGCCAGCCACCAGTTCCACCCACCTGTGCCCAGCAGTGCGCCCACCTGTGCCCAGCAGTGCACCCACCTGTGCCTAGCAGTGCACCCCCCTGTGCCACCCAGCAGTGCCACACACCTGTGCTCAGAAGTGCCACCTACCTGTGCCAAGCAGTGCCACCCACCTGTGCCCACCCACATGTGCCCACCAGTGCCACCCACCTGTGCCCACCAATGCCACCCACCAGTGCCCAGAAGTGCTGCCAGTCAGTGCCCAGTGGTTTGTGCCAGTCAGTGCCCAGCAGTTGTGCCAGTCAATGCCTAGCAGTTCAGTGCCTAGCAGTGATGCCAGTCAGTGCCCAGTGGTTGTGCCAGTCAGTGCCCAGCAGTTGTGCCAGTCAATGCCTAGCAGTGCCGCCAGTCAGTGCCTAGCAGTGATGCCAGTCAGTGCCACCTATCAGTGCCATCTCATTAGTGCTGCCTATCAGTGTCGTCTATCAGTGCCACCTCATTAGTGCTGCCTATCAGTGCTGCCTATCAGTTCCCATCAGTGCTGCCTATCAGTGCCACCTATTGTGCCCATCAGTGCTGCCTCATCAACGCACATCAGTGAAGGAGAAAAATGACCTGTTTGAAAAATTTTATAATAGAAACAAAGAAACTTTTTTTTTTCAAATTTTTTGCTTATAGCGCAAAAAGTAAAGTGCCCAGAGGCGATTAAATACCACCAAAAGAAAGCTCTATTTGTGATAAAAAATTATAAAAATTTTATATGGGTACACACTTGCATGACTGTACAATTGTCATTCAAAGTGCGACAGCGCTGAAAGCTGGAAATTGGCCTGGTAAAGAAGGGGGTATAAATGCCCAGTAGGTAAGTGGTTAAATATCTCCTTCATATTTCTTTTAAGATATAAAAAAATATAATTTTAACATATATTTTTACATATATTTGTAAATACATTCCACAAATGTGGATTAAATGTATTTTTAAAGACATACAGTATATTTGAAAATTTATTTTTAAAAATATTTTTCATATATTTTGTAATAAAAATGCATTTCAACATATACATATATATATATATATATAGAATACGGCCAAAATTGTAGTATTTCAAGTATATGTCAATATATTTGGGAAGAATAGTTTTTTAAAATCTATTTAAATTATATTGCAGGAAATTCTGGGGGCGGGCAAAAAGACAACAAAGAGGACAATGAGGGAGCTGCAACCAGGAACAGATCTATATAGATCAAAATTATAGGATTTTTTTACTTCTATAGCTCTGTTCCTGATTGACACTCTGAGGCAGCCTAATTCCTCTGTATAGACCCCCCAGCACAAACCCCTCAGTAGAGACTCTCCTCCCAATACAGACTGATCCCCCAGCACATACCCCAGTACAGACAGATTCCTACCAGAGTACCGACTGCCTTCCCCTCAGCACGGAACTGTCAGCACAGACCGACCCCCTAGCACAGACCCCCTTAGCACAAACTCACCTCCCAGCATAGACCCCTGAACACAGACCGACCCCCCCTCCCCAACACAGACTCTTAGTAGAGACCAAGCCCTCAGCACAGACCCCAGAACATAGGCTAACTCCCCCAGGACAAACTTCTCAGTATAGAATGACTCTTCAGCACAGACTCATCAGCACAACCCCCTTCAAATATTCCCAAGTAATATTATACCGAGAAGCTGTATTATCAAATCGAATGACTTCTCCATACAATTCTCTGCTAAATAAACCAAGGGGCAGGTGTCACCACCACTTGTGTCAGTTTGTGTTAGATGTTTACTAATCTAGGGAATATCTCCTCTATGATCCTACAGTTCTTAGGTGATTACATTTGCCATTATCAACACACCATAAGAGTTTATTTTCTGATCAATTTACAGCTTAGTGCACATAAGGTAAAATGATTTGGAAATATGAAGCATGTGATTTTTTAATAAAAACACACTTTATTTTTGCATTGCAATGTGTCTCACATTTATGTATAATGCTTGACAAATGCATAGAAATTTCTTCTTAGCAGCAGATATCATTACTTTTGTTTATGGAAAAAAAACGTAGACTTTAGAAAATAGAAAATGCAAATGCTATAGGGAGGTACTAAAAATAAATAAATAAATACATTTTGTGTACACATGCATGGCTGAATATTTCACTCAGGGTGTAAGAACCCAACACAGTATACTGTATGTTCAGATGCGGACGTTTTACAGACAAGATTTTAAATGGGGAACTGCTAAACATCTTTTTGCTAAAGAATCCAGAAAGTGAAATTTCAGAGAGAATGCACTAAGATGACCCCTTGCCCATCTAATCAGTGCCTTATCATTTTCAGGGGTGTACTGATAATTATAAGGCACTAAATCTGCAATTGTGGGTTTTGGCATTGACTTTATCGTGTTCCTTCTGGCTGCTTGTAACATCTTTGGTAGCATGGCCACTTTGGCAGAAGGACAATTATTTTGGTAATCAGATATCTCTTGTAGCATGGCATTTTAGGAGACAGCCTACCTATATCATCCCACTACATTCTTCTGCAATATAAATCTGCCTCTCATACACACAGTTACAACATGTCTAAACATTCATGCAAGCATAACAAATATTACCTGTAATGTTTGTAATAGTTAGTTACTTTTTTATTATTCAATAAAAATAACCATAAGAACATTCAACCATGAGAGTTCACATTCACCAGTAGATAAAATAGCACACTATAAGACCAGGGGTGTCAAGCTGGTGGCCTCCAGCTGTTGTGAAACTACAAGTCCCATCATGCCTCTGCCTTTGGGAGTCATGCTTGTAACTGTCAGCCTTGCAATGCCTCATGGGACTTGTAGTTTAGCAACAGCAGGAGGGCCACCAGTTTGACACCGCTACTAAGAATTTTCACCCAGCAGGGAAGATAATATGCAGAAGACATCAGCACTGTATACAGTCTATAGAGAATCCAGTGGTAACAGCCAAATGAATGGTGTTCAGCTAAGTGAACCTCCAGCTGCAGTGTGTTGCTACCATTGCCAGATGTAACACTTTCCTCCTGATTGTTAGGAAACTGGCATCCTAACACCCAGTGATCAATCCCTGCCTCAGCTCAGCAGTCGGGTATTCCCAACGGACAGGTGAATGTGAACAAATAACAGGCATATTGTACAAAAAAAACAGGGTGGGATTCCCAAAAATTCATACCAGGCCATTTAGGTCTGGTTTGGAATTTAAGGACCCCCCCCCCAACAAAAATGGTGTGGGATACCCAATGGATTCATACCAGATCCTTTGAGTCTGGTATGAATTTTAAGGTAGAACCCAACGCCAAAAAACAAGAAAAAAAAGTCCCTCCAAAATCCATACCAGACCCTAATCCATGCATGCAGTCTGGGTGGCAAAAAAGGGGGGCTGCACACTTGCCCTCTCTTTCCTGGTCACCCAGGCTGCATGCTGAAACTAAACCAGGCCACATGCCCTCTTAAAATCCATACCAGACTCAAAGAGGTTTATTTACTAAAGCTGGAGAGTCCAAAATCAGACTCCCTTCTGCATAGAAACCAATCAGCTTCTAACCTCAGCTTGTTCAATGAAGCTTTGGCAATGAAACCTGGAAGCTGATTGGTTTCTATGCAGAAGGGAGTCTGATTTTGGACTCTCCAGCTTTAGTAAATAAACCCCAAAAGGTCAAGAATCCCTGACTGACAGTTGAATGTTCCAAGCAAGGAAGGGTTTTTTTACGCATGAAATAATTTTATTTTGAAATCATACATAACAAAGGAGTATATAGACAAAGGAAAAGAATTTTAAAAAAGGCAGGTCGTACACAGTCAGAGGATTAGAATGAATAGCAATACCACGGATTTAAACAGCTGCAATGATATAGAATATTAGGCAAGAAAGAGTTACTGGTTGTTAGGATGCTGGCAGATGCTGGCTCCCTAAAATCCAAGAGGAAGCTGTCCCATTAAGCCTGGGTTCACACTGATGTGGTGTGGAATTTGCAGCATTTTCAGTGTGAATTCCGCACTGCATCACAATCGCACCCCATTCATGCAAACAGCTGCGGGTGTGTATGTTAAGTTAACAACACCCCAAAATTGGTCCGCAAAACGCGGTGCGATGTGCAGAATCAGATTGCATAGTGTGAATAACCATATGCTCCTATTCTAGTGCAGAACAAAAAAAGGGTCCTGTACGTTTTTTGGTGCAGATGCGGTGCGTTTGGAGCCATACAAAATGTATGGCTCCAATCGCACCGCACACAATTCAAATGTGATTTGCACAGGAATGTGGGTGCGATTTCCTGTGCGAATCACATGTGATGTACCGCACCATACAAGTGTGAACCCAGGCTTAGAAGTGATAGTAATATTGCTGCTAAATGTTTCACTTCTAAACTTCACTGCAGCTGGAACTTCAATTGGCCCATTACACATTTGTTTGGCTGTTCATACAGGAATCTCTATTATGGATTACTTCCTACAATGATGAGTCATTTGAAAAATTAAGTTTAAAAAATAGACCCCGCAGTGTTGTTATTTGTTGGCCTAAAAAGAGCAATCAACAAGATGCTGTTTTGGTTAATTACAGATTAATAATTTGTAACTGTTTTTTATTAACCATAGAGATGGTTTATGCTTTTTCTTTACTATGAAAAACATCTTTTTTACCCATTTGCTGACCGTGCTATAGCCGAATGATGGCTACAGCATGGTCTTCCAGTTCTGGGAGGGCATCTATTATTATTATTTTTATATAGTATTTATATAGTGCCAACAATTTGCTCAGCGCTGTACAATATAATGGGAGACAGTACACGAGACAGCACAGTAACAATACAAAACAACACACGAGGGGTTAGAGGGCCCTGTTTCTTGGAGCTTACAATCTAGGAGATTGACGTCCTCCCAGAACCCTGCCCCCCACGCGCCCACTATGGGTGCACACCTGGCACTCTCTCTGTGATCACTGTGTCCTTTGGACACAGTTGATCACAGATCATGGTAAAGGGCCTATCACAGTGGCCCTTTATTACATGATCAGCTGTGTCCAGCCGATCATGAAGTAAACACAGCTGCCGATTATCAGCAGTATTTTCTTATGCTCTCATAGTGTGAGGAGAGGAGAGCCGATAACTAGCAAGTGTGAAAGAAAACAGCTCTGTCCTGATTATCAGTGCAGACCCAACAGTGTCCATTAGTGCTGCTAATCAGTGTCCATCAGTGCTGCTAACCAGTGCCCATCA